TGATGTGTCACAATGTCACTTGAGAGCAGATATTTTAAGCCATATTTGATAGTTTAAGAATATTAACCCAGAGGTGCAAGGAGAAAATCATAATTTGAATGTACTTAGAAGCTCGTGCTCCTGCACTCCAAGGTGATGCAATGGTACGTGATGGGAGGTAGGCCAGAGCTCTGGTGAGGTGCTTGCAAAGAATTTCCACTGTCTGCCAGAAGCAGCCACCTTCAGCTGGAGTCTGACCAGAGAGAAAGAAAGTTTTGTGCGTGTTTTCCTGAGAAGGCAAGTAAAGGAGAGTTGATTGGGTTTTTTTCTGCAACAAGTTAAGTCAGAGGGTTCTAATGGTATGGATACTACTGGGTGTTCTTTCCAACAAGTCACTTTTGCATAAGTGGATCCAGCATTGTTGTATCTCATCCCACATTTATTTTTCCCATCCCTAAACTGCCTGGGTTTAGGCACAAATGGCAATATTTGCTCCAAAGGAGAGCTGGAACACCTAGGTTGAGATGAAAAGATGTATTGATTTAATCATGAGGCATGAATTGTAGCTTCATAATCCTTGCTTGACAGTAGTGCTCGACAGCAGGTACAGAGGAGGAGATAAATCCTGCCCTTCACTGTGAAAATCAGAAGTGACTGCTACATGAGGGGGCACTGGGGAAGAACACAGCAGAGCAGGCTGGTGTCCTTCCAGGCGAAGGTTTGCCAGTGTGACTGATCTGGTTCAACTGAAGTATTTATGTATTGCTGTACCTCTTGCCTCACTTGTCCACAGTGACTGCACAAAACCAGTATCTAGCAAGGCCCATGGAAAGCTCTGGTTTATACTGGCAGTGTGCATTTTAAAAAAGTAACACTTTTAGTATGTCATTAGGTAAAGACTAGTTGACAGCAGGAGTACTTTTATACTCCATTTTACCAGTTTGTGCCATTGATGTAATGTAAGTATTATTTAAGTAGTCATCAGATAGTTACAATACTGTACCAACAACACATTTAAAGATACTTCTTGTTGGTTGTTTACTTGGTGCTAGCGTTTTATTTCCACTGATGCCTTGTGTCCAGACACTGATAAATAGAAGAGCATAGGCAATACCTCTTTAACTGATTCTGTTCTACATGGAATAATAAGTAATCTGCACCTTAATTAAACAGACTTGTTAAAAATTTATTGGAGGATTTCATTTCAATATTCTGCAAACGGTCCCTTGACTCCTGAGCATGACTATAAATTACGTTTTCTTTCTCTTCCTATATGTTTGGCCTTGCAAAATAACAGACCTTTTGCTTATTTGTGTTGGTCATCTTAGTACCTGACGTGTTTAATACTCTGCTTCTTGATCATATTTTATGCTTTAATATATGGTCAGTTTGCAGATAAATTCTACCATGGACAGCAAGAACACCCGTGTTCACTGGGAACGTTCTTAATGCAGGCACCTCTGACTGCCCACTGCAGTGATTATTGCTGTAACTGCCTGGCCTCTGTTTTCTTTGTTTATCTGTACTGTAGCCTTCATGAACAGCTGATGTCCTGCACAGGGCTGGCAAAGGACAATGGATGAAGTTCTCTGATGTTTTCTTTCTCTGTTTGGCACTTCTCCTTTTCTTCACCTCTCTTCTCTTTTAGCTTCAGTTGTTGATGTAGCTGAAGAACCACAACAATCAGGATCTTCACTCTGTTTAAAAAAAAAAAAAAAAAAGGGGGGCAAACTGTGTAGCTTGGCCTAGGGATCCTCTTTACTTTCTCTCTGTGAAAATGGAGCAGAAGTCTTGGGATAGACACAGGCTTAGTCACGAAGACTGAAAAAGAACTGCTAAATTTCATACTTAAACAGCTTTGAAAATAAACTAAGGATATGCTGCTCTTACCTGAGGAGAAGTATCTGAAGATTAACATATCCAGGATAAATGACCACAAGAGACACCTAGCTCTGGGGAAAAAAAATAAATAAAAAATAATTACATTCCTACATAGAAGATGCATTCCATAACAATGTTTGTTTGGACTGTTTTTATATTTCTAAAGTTATAGCTTATTACTCTATTCTTAAATTTCAGACTTTTTAAAAAATACAGTGCTTACATTTATACAAGATTTGTTTAGATACTTATAACAGTAACGCTTTCTTTAGTAGTCATTTAGTTTTCTTTATAGACAAGAAGAAATCATTATTTTTTACAAGACAACAATTTTAACCTTTCTTAATAGAACACACAGGCTTGTAGTTATGTCTTGGAGCAATAATTTAGTGACCTGCACTCTTGAGTCCCCATCTGAGAGTCTTGATTTTTATCCTCATCTTTCATGAAGATATCTCAGCTGCTGAGGTATGATCTCTATGAACTGTATTCATTTACTAGAATATAGATTTTAAATATATATATCTATCTATATATATATATATATATATGTAAAAAAGTATTTGTAGGTGTGTTGAGGCTGGGTGCTGTAGGACCTGAAGAAGTAGGTCTGTACTGTACCTTTTGCCAGTAGATGCATGAAAATCAGCTGCACATCCAGTTCTTAGGCTGAAGGAGTCAGAGTTCATTTTGGAGGTACAAGGTTTGTAACATTATTGGCAGTTTCTGTGAGGGATTAACATGGCAAATGTGGAATCTTCTTAGGCAGACATCTCCTCAAGACCTACCTGCAAAAGGAAAGAGGGAATTTTAGTAATTCAGTTAATGATAATTTAGAGAAAATGACATGATTTGTCACACGATCATGTCAGTCAGTTTTGCACTGAAGTCAGTGCAAGTTTTGCCTGAATATGTGCATGTAGAAATCTCCGAATTGGCTGTTCAGAAATACTTGCGTGAGAATAGCTCTTTGTATGGCGCTTACTTCCAAATTTGTGCCTCCTTGTGGGCACAGAGCACGCCAACTTCTGCAGTCCCTTGTTTCAAGAACATTTTAAATTATGGACAAGCCCTACTTTAAAGGACTTCTGGGCTCTGATCTTGGAGAGGCTGATGCTAAGCCTTGTGGAGTTCAGTTCAGATAAGGACTAATAACTGGGGTTTTTTGGTTAAATTATTTTTTGAAGTATCTTTCATGTATATACAATTTTTCCTCTGTTACTTGTACATACCTCAGCTCTCAATTTTATAATCCCCTGGGAAAGGAGGGAGTTGTACATATTTAGCCTGAAGTGTTTCACATTAGACTTTAATAAACTTGTTTTGTAATTTTCCCTCACCTTGTGTCTCCTGTTTATAACTGCAAGGGGTAGCAACAAAAGGAGGAGGGATGTGGTCTGACATAATCACAGTCCCAGCACCCTGGGGGAAGGATACGTGGTAGCCCTTGGCAGAGTATTGTTCTCTTCTCAGCCTCAGACACACCTGATTGTTCACACAGAAGATATTTTGGGTCTGTTCCAACTAAATTAAACAATTCTTCCAAATACAATCGAGTATAATGACTCTTAGATTATTTTTTTACTCTGCAGCCCTTTCCTTGATCTGAAGCTTGTAGGTGTGTCTTTCTGGCAAGAAGGTCTATCATCAGTGTCTCAGTACCAAGAGTACTTTCTTTAGACTACCAGGACACCTGATAAGCAGCAACACTCAGAAAAATATCAACTTTGATAATACAGGCTTACCAAATTGTTTAGAAACATAGGAATTCTCACAGCATGCAGATTCTTCTCAAACAAGTACATTCACTGTATCCTCAACTTCTGTTCTCATGGCTCTGTTCTTCCTGTTTAACAACAGTTAAAATGTAAGCTCCTCTCTAGCATACAGTTTTCACAGTAGACTTTGTGCCTAATGAGATGAGCACAGGTTGAGATGGCCCAGTGCCCTGTGTGGAACAAACACGCCTCCTCTGTGGGCTCTCCTCTAAGTCCTCTTATGATACTGTTATGGTTTGAAAACAAACCAG